GTGATCGCGAACTGAAAAACCATCAAAGATGTCTCCCTTTAGCCTTACTAAACGAACAAAGTTCAATTCAATATTGTTCAGAGTCTAGTGAATGTCTAAAGAAATATTCTCTATCCTGCGACCTTTGTTGGCTGCTGTTAAAACTACTTATATGCCAGATTAACGTTTCGAGTTCGCCTAAAATAGTCAAAAAAGTTGTTCAGTTTCTTGACATCGCTAAATTTCCAATATGCGTACCATTTAATTTTAAAGCAGTAAAATTTAACCGGCTGAACCGTAAAAGTGATTTGAAAAAAATGGAAGTATTACGGAACAGTTTTCAACTATCGGAGCGAAGGTTGACATCATTAACCAATGAGAACTCGAAGTAAAAACAGGCAACCTGCTTGCATTTGAAGCGCGGGAAAACGCCAGTGACCAAGTCGTGATTGGTTTTATCATTGCATTTGATTGGTTGAGAGGGTGACGCGGGTTTCAACGCGTCAACCGAAAAAGCTTTGATTGCTTAAGGAATTCTCCTTGTCAGTACAAAAGCAAATGTATACAAGGAAGATTATGGAGAATGTAGATACTGACGTTAGGGTATAAAGGGTATAAATACTTATAAAGATAATTTTGGCGAGTAAATCTGTTGCCATGATTGAATCAAAACCAAACTCGTTTAGAATTATGCCAATGAACCCAAAAGCACGTTTCTCTTCAACTACATGTCCGTCTTCTCGAATCGCGCCGTCCTTCTGTTTCGCCTCGACGCAGGTTGCGTCACAGCCGTCCCCTACCTTAAAAACAGAGAGAGAGAAAAAGAAAATGGGAAACGGTCCACTTTCCGATTTCTTTTTGGAGGGTAGTGGGGGAGGGCTGCTGTAAACAGGCTATGCTCTTCGCCGCCTGCTCAAATTACTTGATGTAAAACAAGACAGCCACCTAAAAGTTAAAGCAGGCTTTGTAATGGTGCTTTTCCAAGCGGGTTTAAGAAATCTCTACGAAAATTGAGCAGCTCTGCAGCACTTCTGGTCGTACGAAAAGAGATGCCCTCATTATTTAATGAACTGGACACAGAAAAGTGAAAACGCGTCACATTTCGTCATATTCTGGGTAGACTGAATAGACTGGATTTGCATCGAAATACTCGCTTCTTAATATAAAACGTAGCGATACGTCAATTTCTACTATAGACAAGAAAAAGGTCTGGCATTACATTCTCTGCAAATAATTTGAGTCTTGCTCAAACCATTCACTCTGATCTAGGCATGTTACTCAATTCGAGCGATATCAAATCAGAGAGGCCTGCTTTCTGTATGCAAACGACACTGACCTCTCTGATGTTTTTCGCTTTTTTTAGTTCAGACTTATTGTCTCCTTTGAAGGAAGAAATCTCATCGTAGCTTTGTTGTTGTTGCATTGTTTATTGTTATCAGCTCATGTCATCACTCTTCGATAATCGATTAATCGCAGATTTTCTTAGATTACATGAATTGAGCTCTTAGCTTGAATTTTTTTGTAAAAAAAAAATAGCTCGTTGAAACAGCAATGTTTCTCTGTGTGTAACCTGCCTTTGCTTGTAAGCGACGCTTGAAACAATTGTCTATCATAAACTTTTATCTGTTTGGTCTCATTTAACCCTGGGGTAACAACAACTCGCCAAACGAGGTATTACTACGAAAAACATAAGACAGACAATTTTTAGAAACATAGTTGGAATATTGCTGTAGTCTAAAGGCTAGAGGAACCTTGAGCTTTCCGAGCCAGCCCCTATTCATTCACAGTCAGTTTTTATCAAAAAAAAAGGGCAGCAAAAGAGAAAGAAACCAGACCTATTATTAGATAATGAAGTATTTCCAGCAGAATGCGTAAAACAGATGCAAGAACTTACATTCAAGTTACCTACGGTGTTTTTTGACTGCCGAAATGGCATTTCACTTCTTTAGCACAAAGGAATGTATTCAGGACTTTTAAATATCGAGGAGTGTCTTGCTAGAAGAGAACTATTGCCTGATATGAAAGCATTTGTTTGCTCATGTTGGTTCGAGGTTTGCGGAAATGTTGCTTTGACGCATACCTCGTAATGAGTTTATGGCGACAAGCTGGCGAGATTAAAAATGTCATCAATAACTCTTGGTAGAGCAAAGGGGGATATTAAGAGACTGTTAAATGTCAACTTACAATGGATTCAGAGGTAGTCATCATCCAGTAACTACGTTATCGACCTTGGCTAACCTTCACCTTCCGTTAAAGTTGGGTAACATTTTAACCTTACGAAAGAGAAGCATCGTCATGTGTGACCAGAAAAAAATTTCAGCTTTCCAAGGAAAACTGTGGCTTCGTTGTAGAGGCTTTAACCTGTGCAAGGAGAATATTTCCAATTGTAATTGGAGAGATGACAACGATACAGATTAAATAACGTAATAGGAGATTTTTTCTCTCAAAAAAAAAATCTTGAAAAACGTTATTGAAAGATTAATTAATGAAAGGAAGGATTTCAGAGTTTACCATAGTCTTACTAGTTATAACTGCGTAGAAATTAAACATGTGAAAAATTTTGCCAGGAGTACACAACGCCCTCTTCGAAAGTCTCTCGAGACATTCATTTAGATCAAATAACCAACCAAAAAAAAGAAACCTCAAATAACCAAAAATTGACACCAGCAAATGAAACGCGTAACCGTATTTTTATTTCAAGTTTTAAATCTTGAAATGAGATTGTCACATTCACGTGCAAACATTACTCTTTTGCAATATTTTCTGGAAATTCCAGCTTACGATATTGGGTAGCCTGTGCATAACAGTTTCACAGGAATGTAATAGTAGACAGGTGGACCGAATATCGGACGTAGAATTTGCATACATTAGATTTTAACCCTTGCAGATCCATGGCTTTGTATAGAGAAAAATTCGTGCTTTATAGCACAAATGACTGCTAAAAAATTTACGAAAAAAAGATTCTGTCAATGACTTATCATTATAAAATTATCCAAAACTAAGTATGTTACAATTTAATATCTGCCATGATTCAACGCTTTTTAGCATGCTCACAAATTTTCAACCGAGCTTCCAAAATAATTCCGAAAATTAAATAAAAAAATTACATTATCTTGGAGAAATTTGTGAGAAGCGTTAGCGGAATATTCCCTGGTTTCAAAAAGAATTTATAGCTCTCTATCTAGAGAGCAGAGGTGTATAAAATTCTATCTGTGATACTTTTTTAAACGAGAGAAATAGGATCAAAGTTTCGACGCGAATTCGCTTTTAACCTTTGCAACAGCAGCCGACATTTGCTACGAATAAAACGAAAAAAAAAACAGAGAGTTTTTTACTAGAAGTTTCTCTCCATTTCTGTATCAATAAGTTTCTTGATGTGACGCAAAAAGGGCGATGAGTCAACTGTCCTTTCCACAAAGAATTCATCTGCGTTCTCCTTGCGTGTTTTTCCGCAGGTTATTCTCGCGGGGAGTCTCTTGGACCGTCTTTGAGTCATTACGGCTCTATATTCAGCCACGTTCGAAAGCGTCCAGGCAAAAGAAAGATATAATCTTCCCGACAGCAAAAGTCTCGCTACTCTAAGGGCGCACACCACAAGATAGACACCACAAGCGTCTAGTTCCAAAATAACCAAAATATGGTATGGAACAAATGTCACTACTTTGACGACAGCCGATAAATTCGCTAAAATTGTTCTTGGTAAACCATTTGACGTAACCGACGCCCAGCTACCAGAGGTCAGCGAGGTTTTACTTGTTCTAGCCAACGCGTCTAAGATGTAAACCATATCACAGAGGAATATGACCCAAACACATAACAAACTGGAGTTGTAGGTATTAATTTTCGACAAAATCCAACCGCTTAGGGCTGCATTCATCACGTAAATGTCCCATATTCGACACATAATTATGGACAGAGAAGCCATTCCTTCGGAAATCCAATTCCTTTGAAATTACGGCGGTGGTGTTCTCGGGAAAAAATTCTGAGTTGTCGAGGAAGACGAAGAACGTTGACTAAGCTGACAGCCCGTGTTTGGCTGTTATTTAATGAACATAGTCAATTCAAAATCAGCACGTGCAGACGAGATGATTTCTACGACCAAAGTCCAATCGAACCATATCACCAGCGTGGACTGCATGTTCCGCGTTTAAAAATAGTTCACATTGTTTGACAATCTCAGGGACGCGCGATGAAGAGAAATGAAGTTATTCAATCAACGAAGCCGGGAAACCATTTTTTTTTATGGTCGTTCATAGCATTCAAAACGCTTTTAAAACATGTGACATGAAAAACGAGTGTTGCATCACCAAATTGCTGGTGTTTTAAATATTAAAGGGTAAATGCAAATGTTTTATTTGTTTTTATTCCGCAAGGGATATTAGTTTAAGATTTCGGGAAGCCCAGGATCAAAACAACACTGATAACAGCTTTTTCATTGCCTTTGTTTACAACCTGAATTATTTTTTCGACATATTGTATACTTTTTCTAAGGCTTCACAGTATCAGCTGATATTCAAAGTTCGGAATTCAAGTGATTTGGGGGCGTTCCAAGTAATCTCGTGGATTAAACTTAAGGATCAACTCGAAATAACAGTAGATCAATATATGAAAGAATCGATTCACAACCTTCAATGGAATTTTTACATATATTAAGCAAAACGAACAAAACAAATTTTTTCTAAGAATGAACCAGACAGATCTTAACATTGCCATCACCCTTAGTCGACTCTTCTGTCCGCAGTTTGTTACGTGTCACGTATTTGCGTGCAACGGCAGACGCCTTCAATATTTTAGCTTGTCACGTCCTCAGCAAGTTCAAGAGAATAAGAGGAAGCCCGCGACCTTTTTCCTGCGACCCACAGGAAAGTTTTGAGCAGCACATCCGTTGAGAACTAATTTAACTTTCGTTAATGGAACAGTTCTCACCGTCTTAACTGAAACAAAAAACGTGTAAACATTTATTCCCTTTTGTTAACCTTCTAAGAAAAGCATAACGCCTCTTTTGCGGTAAACGGTATCCCGCCGCTAAGTGGAATTTATGTGGTTGAGTACATGAAGCTCAACATGCCTCTGCCCCTTCCAATCGGAGGAGAGCCGGCCGCCCCAATACCTAAAGAGATAACAAAGAACTTTTAGTCCATTTTATTCTTTTTTTTTTTTTTTAATTTTTCAACAAAGGCTAATGAGCGACACGAAGGAAGATACCTTTATTTTTGACGCGTTTTGTCTTTCACTGAGTTCAACTAACAAAGACTGGATGGCCACTGTTGCTCAAATTCTTGGAAAAGTAAACCCGCACAAATTTGATTAGGGAAATTTGAACAGAAACAGCGAAGCTCAAAGTCAAGCCGTAAGGAAATAGGTATCTATTGGTTTCTGTCAACAAAATAGGGTCAATGTTTTCAAATTTTGTTTTTTCGTTTTTGCTCTTTAGTCAGAAAAAGCAGTTATGTTTAATTTATCGAAAACAAAATTAATAAAATGTTACAAAAGAATGGCTGAAGGAATGTCTTGAGCGAGTGAAAGGTTTCATAACCGGAAAGGCGGGCTTTGGTCCGGGATCTCGATTTTGCATATTTTGTTTGCATCGTGTCTTGCAACACACAACGACGGTCAACAAAGGGAAATTTCTGTCACATTTCGCAATACGTTAAGAAACACGATTCCTCGTCCAACAGCCGAAAGGGAATGATCGCGAGAGAGCCCAGCCTGAAGAGATAGATATCAAAGTTTTTGTTTTCCCTCGCTTGCTATGCCCACTTTTCCTTCTGATTTTTGCAGAGTTACCTCTACTCAAGCCAATTAATACGTATGCTGATTTGCTGGATTTTCATAAAAATTGGCCAGAATGTTCGTGAGATATTAACGAACCAAAGTATGCAAGACTTAAACGAAAATTCCAAATATTTCTCTCGTGAAGTCCCGGAACTTGACAACAACCGAACTATTCTCTTTTGTCAAACTTCAAAATAGATTTTCTCAAGAATCATTTAAAATATCGAAAAAGCTTCACACGCTTTGTTAACCAAATATTTGCTGAGTGATACTGTTTAGTTTGTGTGGAGGTTCGTGGTGATGCAGAGGCTGGTAATTCAGTTGAGTAAATACCGTCAGCTTTATGTTTCAAGGCTCGCGCGCGCCTCTCAAAACAAAAACTTTAACAAACTATAGATTATGCTATTTCATAATCTATACTTTATAAGCTTCACATCGATATATATACTTTTCCGTGGTTTCTTTAAAAGTAGCACGCGTAGCACGTTTTTTTTCGGAAAGCACCCTATAAACTTAAGCCGATTCAGTGGACTCTGGTGACCTTTCCCGCTTAACAGATCTGTTTAAGTAGAATTACGTGACTTAGGCCATAGCTATCGAAATATCTGCCTTTCTTTCGTTGATCTCTCTTGACAAAAATCATTGAATATAACACGAACGAACACTTAAAGCGTAAAAGATAAAAAAATTACACGAAGAAGTAGAACAAAGTTATGCACAAGTTCAAACAAATCACTGAGATGTTCGGGGTAAAATAATCCAACCGTCTGAAGCGCGGGAAAACGCGGGCGACCAACTCGTGATTGGTTGATAAGTTTTGCATCTGATTGGTTGAGAAGACAACGCATGTGATCAGGTCGAGATTGCTTTTGGTTTTAAATGCGCTACAGTTTGACGACAGATTTCCATGCCCAACAATCATTGCTTAGGTCAAGTATATTTGTAACTACGGGCAAATGTTTCACCCTCAGTGCAAATAAATAAATAGAAATAAAAACGTCAATACCTGACGTCTTTGGAGGACTGAAGGAAACACCGCCAAAATTTTTCTTCCGAGCTTCCGCGTGGAGTCTGGCCCTACCGACTCCAGCCAAGTGGGTAGAACTCACGCCAGTGGATTTGGGCGAGGTCGGCTGTCCACGAACATTATTCATTGGGGCAAATTCTGGTTTTTCGTTTGTAACGAGTTTAAGTCTAGATTGAATTTCGTTTTCGAGTTCTTCGCTCGCATTTGTAAGCGATGAGGATGAGGATGAGGTTTTGCGTGTGTCTTGGGAGGAAAAACTTTTATTTCCGACGCCCGGTCTTTCAGAGTTACTATCACCATGAGCTAGCTGTCTTGAATATTGTTCAATTGACTTATCGCACACCACTGGATTTTCATGAAGCGATCGAGATTGCGCTTTCATATTGTCGAGACAGTGTTGAAATACTGGGTTCTTTGGGGTTGAAATACTGGTTGCCATAGGACCTCTCCGAAGCAGATCCGAATCGTGAAAAACCTGCTGTTGAGAAGAACTAACAGTCACACTTTGTTCGAGACTATGACGAAAGATGGGATTGTCTGTGCCCGAATAACGCTGTCCACGATTTTCTACCTGCGAACTTAATCCTTGGGAAGAATTGTACAATGATGATGGGAGCTGCACTTCTGAACTACAAACGAGAAAAAAGAAAAGAAAATATATATTTCAGCTGACTGAACGCAAGCAGGCTTAAACTCGACGAGCGAGTGCCCGGTTCTTTCATGCTAAAAATCATAGCTGCCATCTTTGATTTTTACAGAAGCGGAAGGCTAGGAATAGAAGGAAACTTGTACCAATGGATGGGGGAGGGGGGGGGGGGGGGCAACGATCGAAGGAAAGAGATGAGAGAGTGTGGGCCTTTCCCCTTCTGGTTGTGTAAAATTTACCTCATACCCCCACTTGGGCTCTGTAGTATTCGAATGAGCGCCCCCTCCCCCTTCTCATTGGCTGTCAACTTTACTCAAACAAGCTAGCCTACCATCAACATTAAAAAAAGCTGGTTTCCAGCAATGGCATGAACTATAAAAGTTAAAAACCACTCAAAATATACACAAGAAAAAAAGGGAAAAAAAATATATATATATATATCTGTGTACACTAATATCCATGACTTAAACTATTAATGTATTAAATATAACCCTACGGTCAACTTATCATCAGCGTTCCCTAAATGATAATTGTTGGCCGAACACGAGTCCCTGAAAAAATTCGAAAGCCTAGCAGGAGCCAAGTCATGGAGAACCTGAAACATTTGTTTAGCCTTCCTACGAATTCTACGTTCGCTAATAGTATGAATTCTACATTCGCCACTATTATACGACTGCGAGTGACTCGCACTTCGCGCTGGCTTTGCGGTTGCCTTCGTTCGACTGAAAATCGCGGAAAAAAATTCGATCTGTCCTGCATGCTACTTCATCTTCATAAAGCAAGAACTCATAATAAAGCAAGCAAAGTGTTTTTCGAAGTGTTACCTTGAACTTCTCAATAGCGCTTCCCTTCTCATTTGTTGCTTGAATTTCTCACGTTCCTCCGGACTTAACCTAAAATAAATAAAAATACTTTTCTAAGCTTAAAAAAGGGAAAGATTAGGAACAAAATCACACGCAGAGAAGACACGGGTTTCCAGTTTCATCCCAGGGTTTCTCAGCTTCTTCCTGTTTCTCCCGCTTTTGAAAAGTATTCGTGTTTACCATTCGTCTTACAGTACATCTCAGACAGGACGCTTTCAAAATTGCTGGAAAACTGTTATAGTTACAAACCTTTGAATATCAGTAACTGCTGTGGAGTCAGACGATTGAAACGACTCATTCTTAGGAAGGATTCTGTCGACTCTGTGAAACAGTTGACTATGATCTGCCTCTAGAGATTTTAGAAAAACAAGCCATGTTACAGTGTTATTTATCAACTCTAAATTGTCATGGGTGATTTACAAACATCAAACTTCCCCCTACAATAACAACACATTGTTCAGTCAGCAGGTGATGAGAAGAGACAAACTCATCAGCTGTAAGCATGGGCTTGCATTTTGATATATTTTCAAAACACTAATTAAAATCCTCTTTGCTGGTGTTGCCCCAGAGTGTAGAGAAAGAGGTGTTGAAATCTGTTAATGGATAGCAAGTGCATATCAAGAGATATCAGCAAAATTGTAATGTAAAATCATTCTTAACTCTTTAAATCCTAGGAGTGATCAGCATCTTATTTCTCCTTACAGTAATACTGCTGAATCATTCCTTAACCCTTTAACGCCCAAGATCTGATTAATAATTCTGCTTATTGTCTGCCATACAATTCCTGTGATGCTAGTTCTGAGAATTTGGTACTGGATCAACTAGAAAATCCTCAAACTTACATTTTTCCAAATTCTCATCATCTGTCTGATTGATATTGTATTGATATTGTAACGAGAAATTCTGTCTTGGTCACTCATGGGAGTTGAAGGGTTAACATCACGAGAAGACAAAATGATTGCCAACTGAAGAGGTTTTGATTGTTACACAAATTCTCCTTGTCGGTACCAAAGGACAGAGAGGATTATGGAGAATATGGCTACTGATGTTAGCAAGTAAAGGGTTAAACCCATCAAGGTTTAGAAGTCTAGATATGACCCTTGCTCCTTGATCCTTGATCCTTGATATTGCTGAAAAGAAGCCTGTTAACCCTTTAACTCCCAAGATCTGATGTCAATTCTCCCCTCTAGCTGCTAGACATTTCCTTGTACATAAGTTACAAGAATTTGGTGGTAGATCAAGATAACAACTTCTACCTGATAAGTTTGAGTATTCTCATGACTTTCTTGCTGGATAATGTTTAGATGTTACTGGGAGAAGTTACATGTTAATCACTTTTGGGAGTTAAAGGATTAAAAACTCAGGTTTGGACGGGATTTGAGCCAGTGCCACTCTGATACCAGATGGGTGATACCACTAACTGAGGTTCAAAGCCACATGCTAGGAACATGGTAAATTTATCATCTTGTTCAAAACCATTTCTAAGTTTTTTCAAGTAATGCACTCTCTCCTGTAACAATGGTTGTCATTGGAGAGAGATCACATTGACTAATGAAACTAAACAGTAATTTTAAAGTAGACTATATAACATCTCAATGATTTCAACACACTTCAGAGGTAATATGTAAATAATTCACATATAATCAACTCAATAGACAAAGTAATCTAATTACCCTGATCATCCCAGTTTTCAGTTGATGGTTGCAATTCTTCTGTTCTGTGGTAACTTGGCACTGAAGTGTTGCCTTTGAAGTAAAAACCATCCTCATCTTTTTCACTTCCTACATGTAACAGACAAATTAGAAAAAAAAGGGTAAGTCTCTTAACCTTTTCACTCCCAAGATCTGATTGTTCATTCGCCCTTCCAGCTGCTACACATTTCCTTGTTAACTGATTATGAGAATTTGGTGTTAGTTTACAACAACAACTCAACTTTATAAGTTTGAGCATTTTCACCATCTGTTTTCTGGATAATGTATGAATATTATAGGAAGAATTTGCATTTTCATCACTTCCAGAAGTTAAAGGGTTCAGTGCTGCATTGATGGGAGGTATTTCAGAATAATTTGGAGCTAACAACTGAATTAACATAGTAATTTGGCCATTGTAGAGATATTCCAAAGCTTATGTGTCAAGCGTTAGCCCTTCATCAAAGCAGAATGTTATATATTACAACTCTCTCAATATCCACCACTCATTTCTGCAGCTTTCCAGGCCCCCAGCACATTTGAGGAAGTCTTACTGTCAGAATATTAAATTTTATTTCACTTAACCCTTTACAACCTAACATCAGTGTGCATGTTCTCCTTACTGTTCTTTATACATTTCCTAAGGTGCTGACAAGGAGAATGTGATTACTGATCAATTGCTTCTCTCGTTGGTGATCATTTCCTTTACTCTCATGACCTTAATGTTTGATTCAGGGATTATATTGTAAGGAGAAATTAGATGCTGGTCACTCTTAAAGTTTTAAGGGTTAAACTATCTATTACACATGTTCCTTTACACTGCTTGTTAACAAGTGTTCTTAATCAAAAACACTTAATGTCATTTCATAACCCATATCTTACCAAAACCAGTATAGTTTAATACAGTAATAAAATATTATCTGAACACTGTTTGAAGAGGTTCTCCTATAAAAAACTCATTCATGTAAAATATTTGGCCTTCTCACTCTTCACACATAATATCCAGTTTTTCATGTTCTTGCAAAATTCCAAATGATCATGTTCCCCTTCAAAATAATAAACCAAATTCACAAATTGATATTTTCACTTTTTCAAACTTGTTTACAATGAAGTCGCATTTCATTTGCTCAAGAACCGTGAGTGGTTTGTTTAATGACTAATTTATTGACTATATGAAGTTTGCACTCTGTCATTACCTAACCACAGCTATTCAAGAAAAATATGTACTCATTTTCAAAACAATGAAATAGGAGGAAATTCATCATGCAAAACAAATTGGTTCACGATTCACATTTATTTCAGTTCTTCATTCATGAGTCATGCTTCAATAAAAAAATCAGTTGCCATGGACATGAAAAAGATCTTATAATCTTTAATCAGGATTAACAAATAAAAAATAATTTAAATCATGATTCACAAGAAAAAAAAAGTTGCCCAATCATGCTTTTTGTAAAAAGTATAGGGAACCTTCTCTGTAGGAAGAAGTGTCTGGGGGTGGGGGATTACTATATTACTTTTTTTCCCTGGTGAGGATGCTAGTCCATAACAGCATTAGCTGTTAGGTTTCTGTGACCATTCTTTGATACCCACTTATACTCTTGGACACAGTTATTCATAGGGTGGATGATGTTGGATAAATCTCTATTTAATGGATGGTGCTGCACATTCTTTTAAAACTTATCAACAGGATAACATTTGAACCATTTGCAAATGTTTTCTGTCCTTTGAACAACTTGGCTCTTAGCAGAAGAGGCCTGGTGGGGTTTATGTTTCTTGCCTGTGAACACCACACAATGACCTTGCTAGGTCTCAAACCCAGACCTCCCCATCCAGAGTCCATTGTGCAGACAGTTAGGCCAGTATTAACCCTTTGACAAGCATCTAATTTCTCCTTACAATATCGTTAATGAATCACACAGTAAGGTCATGATAGTGAAGGAAATGATCATCAACTAAAGAAGCTCCTGATTGTAAAACAAATTCTCCTTGTCAGCACCTTAGGAAATGTATAGAGAACAGTATGGAGAATATGCATACTGATGTTTGGGTGTAAAGGGTTAAGATTAGTCCTGTAACTTAACAGGCTTTGCGAGGTATAAAACTACAACACATGGAAAGGAAATAATCCAAATGATACACATCTGTTGTTGGAAAATGCTGAGAATTGATCCATGAATGTTGTCCATGGAAAATAAGTAAAAATTAATTTTCCAAACAAAATTCATTCCTTACCTTTATAATTATACTGCTCAATGGTAGACTAGAAGAATAAAAAAATGAATATCAGGTTGGTTACTTTACATCTGTTAGGTAATTTCTCAGTTGCAAGGGGTGGAGGGAGGGGGGGGGGGTTCTTTGGGTGGTTCTTGGTGACCAGGTACTGCACCAAATATTTATATTTGCATCATGTTCAAGAAGCATTGCAAATTCCAAATGATTTCTGGTTCAAATCATGTTCCCTTGAAATGAGAAAGTGTCAATAGCTTAAAATGATTAACCCTTTAAAATGACCAAGACAGTTTTATTTCAATATCAATACATCAAGATGAGAATAGAGAAGATCTATCAATCATGGGATTATTAGTTGATCCAATACCAAATTCTCTGAACTAACATCTTAAGAATTGTATGGCAGATAGTAAGGAGAATTACTAATCAGATCTTGGGAGTGAAAGGGTTAATGCTCTGACCATAAAAAGATTGGCACTTTGACCCAAAAATTTAATCATCATGAAAGTTGGAGAAATAGTGTTGTAAAAACTATGATAAGAGGTTCTCTCCATTTTCAGGCTTTTCCAGAAGCCCACCAATTCACTCCTTGTGTACAATGCACAGGAATAAAGAGAGTAAGATTCTAAAGAAACTGTGGTGGAGCTTCAGTGGGAGAGTATAACAGGGTAATTTAGTTTTATCAACTAAGTTGATACCATAAATTGGTCACCATAAAGAGTTTCAAAGCTCTCGTTTTGAGCTTTAGCCCTTTGTCAATCATTCTGGCAAAGAGTTAACATTTGAAACATCAGCTTTGAAACCCTTTACGGAGGTGAATTTATGTTATCAACAAACTTGATAATACTAAATTAAATTGCACAGGCTTTGGTACCCTGCATCACTACTGGTTACACAGCAAAGGCTGATTTGTGATATTTAAAACCCTTTTATCCACAATTAAACTTGTTTGGAATAGAAGCTTGTAACTCCGCTGCCAATATGACGACGGAAAATCATATCAAAGAGCAGGTAAGTATTATTTTTGTTAAAACTTAAAATACAGCTCCCAAATAAAGTAAATGTAAAAATTATTTCACAAACTCCTAAAATATTTAAACAAAATGACATGACATTGTGCAGTTTAGGAGACAAACTTAGGAAAAACTAACAATGATAACTTCACGCTTAAAGCAATTTTCTCAACAGTAATCACGAAAGAAGGATTTCTCCATAAGTTGAGAGAATCTGCCATAGAGATCTTAAGAATTAACCGATTCAAATATCAACTCGAAGACGAAAAAGCATGCAAATAGAAATTTAAACTGGATTATTCCACTTACTCTATCGGGACACCGGCTTACATGATGTCTAACATCATGCCTTAGCATGACATGTTTAGCGTTGAAAGGACAGTTAACAAAGTCTTTATCGGGATGATTCTGCCTGCACTTCATCAGATGGTGTTGAAATCTCCTTGCTTTTATTCTGTGAGCTTCGTCGTACGGACAAATCATTAGTGTATCTGGATCCCAGCGAGACCAATCCTCTGGAGCAGACCAAGACATCTGTGGTTTCTATTTTGTTAAAGAACAATAACAAAAGGATTTTGTAACAAAGACGCAAACGAATGATCCGAAAATGTATTGCAGAAATAGATACCGCTCGAAGGTCAGCGGAATCAATAATATATATATCTAAAATTTCATCGTGTAATCTTCACAAAAAGTGTTAGCGTACCCAGTCTTCCAAGCGTACCCAGCGTTTCCAAGTGAAGGGACATATACTAACTAAAGTGGGTAGTTTCTAAAAATTGGGACGAATTTCGGCAAAGTGGACCTTTTTGAAGATCTCAAGCCCTCCCAGATAGATTCTTCCTACGGGTCTCTCTTCTTACCATCACATGGGACCAAGGCTACCTCATGGATGCCGATATTAAATTCAATTTGTTATTATTATTTATTTTATTTCCATTTACTTTTCCGAAATCGTAATTTTAAGTATGTCGTACATTTGTTTTGAAAACTCTTTCCACAACTTCTTCAAGATACATGAACAACTTTAACAGTTTGGGTTTTTAGACTTTCAAAAGTCACTCATTCCGACAAAAAGCGAACGCTCGAAACGTCAGCTCTAGAAACTCTTTACAGTGGCCATTTATAATTATTTACTGAGTTCATGAAACTAAATTATCTCCACTAATGCAGCACCACAGTTCGAAAATTTATCCCCTTTAATCAATTTTCAACTGGGGCGCGCACTTCCGGATCTTGACTGGTTCTTTCTAATGAAATTCCCAGTTGATTAAGAGTAACAGCTCTGGCTTGCCCGGCTGTTTTGACGGGTATGATCCGTTCCACTCTATCAAGGCACAGCAAACGTTTATACTCCTGTCTAAAATTTCTGTTCATGGCTCCATAAATAACAGGGTTGACAGAACTTGACATAGTTGCTGAGATTGAATAAAACAAGTACACCTGCCTGGGTTGATTGGAACCATTTTGAACAAAGTCAATAGCTTCAATAACAATTACAGGCGAGAAACAGAGGATACTCCCGAGTACCATGACCAAGAGAATTCTGGAGACTTTTATTTCTTCCACATTTACTCTGGTATGGACTCCGTTAGATTTTTTGTGCGCGCGCACCGCCCGAAATATCCTAAAACTACAGTAAGATAAAACACTCATAGAAACGCCGCCAAAAATCGAAATTAAAGTTATAAAAAATGGTTCTTTGCCGTCTTGGTTACAAAATATTTTTCCTGGATGAAAGCTGTACATATGCCCGGCAGCAACGTAAGGCAACTGCACCAATAGAGCAATCAACCATGCAGCCATGATCATTGCTGAGGTCCTCCGCGCCGTAAAAAGTCGGCGGCAATCGTTTGGTTTCACGATACGGTAAAATCTGTTGAGCGACATCAGAGCAAGAGACTCAGTAGAGGCGAAGGCAACGGCGCTACCAAAATATCCTTGGAATTGACACATCGTATGATCGAAAGACCATTCACTTTTTACCAAGACTGATGCGTTTAAAGGGATGGCAGGTGTCACCATTAATATGTCTGATAACGCCAACGACACGATGAATTTGTTTGGAATTGTTCGTAGTCTGGGTGATCGTAGAACAACTACTAACGTCAGCATGTTTCCGAGAAATGCCACTATTGTGACCAAAAGCATCACGACGGTTTCTATCACAATAAGATATGTGTCCCTTGACTTTAGATCGCGGTCAAGTCTTTCCAAGTTATCCATTTTTTACGTATGCGTAAATGGCATTCAACGCCCTTTTTGTACCTAGACTCCAAGTATCAATTCCTCACCTGACGTCAATGTAATATGACTATCATACAAAATGAAGGAGAGTCGAGAGGCGAAGGAACAATAAGATGAATAAATCTCATCGAGGGAACTTCATAACTTAAAAGGATCTTAGGGTTGTCTCCTATCTTTCAGATTGATTAAACGAGAGAACAGGAAGGCGACTTTACTTATGATGACAGACTGTTTGACGAACATGCCACTTGGTGATATAAAGAGGATTCGGATTAAAGTAAATATAAGCTTTTTTTTTATTCGTAGACCCATCCACGAATTAGCAATCTCTGTTAATCTGTTTACAGGCATCGACATTACTGATACTAGTAGTATGTACTGAACGCTTGTCATCTATATTGATAATTGTAATCCACTGGATAGGCGGCGAAATCCGTTTATTTGTCTTTTTTTTTTCGTCCTCATTACTCTCGATTTAATCAAATTCAACCATGAAAACCGATATCACTAAAAAGGAGTTACATCTTTTGCATTTGTTTTCGACTCAAAAGAAAGTATATATATCATTGTGTGATCTGAGGCAGATATTTTAATTGCAATTTACTAATTGGAACAAGGAAAAAGAAAAGAGTCTAGTGTATCTTTATTAAAGTTAAATGATGGGGAGACTGAAAACAAAGTCCAAAAGTTATGGCAAGAATATAAGCCAATTTCTTAATAGTAAAGTTGTCGCTTCAGTTTTCTACCCGCTGAATTATTTTGCGAAAATGAATAAAGTAAGAATTCGTTCCCATTTGAATATTTTATTCATTTTGAACTATTAACTAACAGCTTGGCCAGGCAAAAACGATTCGTTAGACATATGTTCTCAAACGCACCAACAAGCTGAATGATTAATTTCCATCGTATTCGAACGGTTCTCTTTAATGAAATCATTCCTTTGTTATAATTTTCATGTTTTGTTTTCATCCATTTCTTTTGTGTATAAAATGCGAGCAGCTGCGTAGCCCAGTCACCTAGAAGCTGGGAGTCCCAAACCCTAATGACACAGAAATTTCCCAATTATTTTTCTTGCAGTTACCAGAATCAGCCATCAGTATTCTCAACATCCCTCCCATCTGTTCCATGCTACACTCTTTTTTCCTGTGTTTCAAAATTTTGAAAATATCTTACCGTTTAATCAATAGCATGTTATGCGACCCACGAGTTGAGATGAAAATCATGGGTTAATGTATATCAAATACGCTTTTCAGTTTGTGTCGTCACCAGACATGGCGCAAGATAATTTTCCTCGATCGAAATGAATTTTCATCTCTGATATGGGCTTTGTACCTTCAAAATTCTATATCTGTTGTATTATTCTTGCACAAAGTAAATCATTTACAACTTCGATTGTGAAATTTGCGCTTGTTGTGGTTTTCATGTGTTGTAAAACTTATATCTTTCTCACTGCAGATGTACTTAAAGGGAGCTTCTACTCGATCTTGCATTTATACCTTTACGTCTTTTTCTTGACTTGTAAGATGTTAAACTAATTTCTAAGTATGATAAATATTCAGGCCATGAAAAGAATCAGTTCTAAATGTATTTCATTTGCACAATTCGCCAAGTTTTCAACGAGCTGCGTCAAATTTAAGAAGATTCAGTAGTCAGTTATCTCGGGAGCTGAAAGAAGATCAGGACACCCCAACCTAAAGCCGGAGAGTGTCGCTAAACTGTAAAGTCGAAGTCCTCGATGTAACGATAGCACTCGTCGTACAAATACAGCTTATTTGATGCCTTCGTTGTTTAGTCAGCACTATATAGCTTTATAATTATTTAGTGAAATGTTCATCCTTCTTCTGATTTCTCTCCAGTGGATTGAATTTCTGGATGGAAAACTTCGACATTGAATTCTAAAACGCAGCAAGAGAGTCCCTTCAAGTTTTTTGCTTCGAAGGTTTTAATGAAGCTCAGTTCATCAGGATCAATGGCAGTGTCTGAAGTATTTTTTTTTTTTTGGCAACTGCTGCTGCAAATAATACAGAATTGATGTGATTTTCATTTTAAAGGCTTTATATTTAACGTAAAAGGATGAAGTTGAGCTCCAAATAAATAACTCGACTTTGGTAAATTGAAAATTTAGAGTAATGAATGGTTTATAAATTAGACAGTTAAGGAGTTATATAGTCACGCCGATTAATTGAACTGGTTAAAAATATCAGGAATAGTCAAGTCATACTTGAAATGGTACAGTCTAAAATAACAATTTATGTAGCTCACATTGAACTGAACAAACCTCTATGGCAATTAGTGTAATATCCTCGGTAAAAATGACAAATGTAAGCCTTAAATATTCAGTGTAATGTGAAATGATTCGGCGCCAAGCCAAACACATAAGCTTAATAAATAGGGGGTTAACTTTCTAAAGAAACTGAGGTGCTGCGTCGGTGGAAGAGTATAACATGGGGACTTAGTCTTGTTAACTGAACTGATGACGTTAATTGGCCACCATAAAGAGTTTCAAAGCGTTTCGAACGTTAACCCTTTGTCAGAGCGATTGGATAAGTTGCAGTTCTTTGTTTGGACACCAAACAGTTCAGCGACACATTGAATAATGTAACTTAACGGCAAACGCTTAGGTGTTTTGTTTTGTGTTTCTTTGTAAATCTATTTCGAGCTATCAGCATTCGCTTTCTTTGCAACTTACACCAGAACATAGCACGGCAGGCTTGCTCAGGCTGGTAACGTCTGAGGCGTTATGTTGCTTCTGCAAGTCATAAAAATCATCAACACCACTTGAGTTCTAAGGACTGTTTGTAGCAATTCCCTCTTTCACAGACATAAAGACAGTTCTCTCAACTGTTTAGTCATATTTCAAGAATGGTCAACAATGGTCCCGTTTATAAAATTGCTAGGGGAGTAAATCCAATTAAGAAATGAAAGCACGAAAGCATTCTACAACCAAAGTTGTTGCTTCTGTTAGCCTCTTTACTATCAGTATCTTTAATTTGCTTGAGCTAGCTAAAAGGGCCTTCTCATGTTGCTTAACAGCCATCAAATCTCTCTTCACGGAACATCTTTATTTCTATGTCTGAAACGCCTGGAAAAAAATGTGAACCGCCCTTTTGATTTATGAAGATCACTTATATAATCAGGAGGTCGTCTGGAGTTTTACTTGGCGAAAAAAAAAAAAAGCTGTCCTCTGAAACCTTCGATGATTGAAATCTGAAAGTTAAACCTTGACAAGGAATTAGGTAATGTAAGTTCAGAAGGAGTTTACTCTAATCCCTGGAACGTTTTTCTAGGCTATATTCTACTGCATGAGAAAAATAGCTGTCCTATCCAAAAATTTTAACTGAGACAGAGCATCGACCCCTCGCCCTACACTCGAATTAACTGACTTCTTGCTCAGTTAATTGTAATTAAAAGTAGTGGCTGAGAAATTCTGTCTGAACAACCGTTGAGCTAAAAGCAGAATAAATGGTTAAAAATAACAGATTGAATTGATGTCATCTAGGAATCATTTGAAAAGCTTATACTTGGTGAAAGGATGCAGTTAAACTCAAAATTGATAACTCGTCTTTGGTGGATTGCAAAAGTCAAACAATGCATGGCTTTCGTTGTTCAGCTAGTACCATAGTCTTATTTAGTAAAATTTTTATCCTGCTCTTGATTTCTGTCCTATGAGTTGAATTTCTGGATGGAAAACTTCGACAAGGGATTCGAAAATGCAACAAGAGAGTCGCTTCAAGTTTTTTGCCGCTTCGAATGTTTTAATGAGCTGCAATATATTCGACCGCACTAGAAAAGTATTTATCTTATCCTTAGATTCTAAATGAAAAACTCACCTTTAAACCTTCGCTCAGCACTCAACAAAAACTGACAAACTTCTCGCTGAAGTTCAGTTCATCAGGATTACTAGCAGTTTCTGAAGAATTCTATTTGGGCAACTGCTACTGCCAAATAATACAGAATTGATGTGATTATCATTTTAAAGGCTTTGTATTTAATGTGAAAGGATGAAGTTCAGCTCCAAACAAATAACTCGACTTTGGTGGATTCAAAATGTGAAGCAATGAATGGTTTATAAATCAGACAGTAAAGGACTTAAATGGTCACGCCGATTGAACTGGTCCAAAAATATCAGGAATAGTCAAGTATTACTTGAAATGGCATTGTCTAAGATACGATTTATGCAGTTCACATTGAACTTAACAAACCCCTATGGAAATTGGTGTAATATCCTTGATAACAGTGACAAATGCAAGTCTTAAATATTCAGTATTATGTGAAATGATTCGGTATCATGCCAAACAGATAAGCTTAATGAATAGGCGGTTAACTTTCTAAAGAAACTGTGGTGCTGCGTCGGTGGGAGAGTATAACAAGGTGATTTAGTATTGTCAACTGAGTTTATAACGTAAATTGGCCACCATACAGAGTTTCAAAGCGTTTCGAGCGTTAACCCTTCGTCAGAGCGATTGGATAAGCTTGCCTCGTAACGGTTCTTTGTTTTGACACCAAACGGTTCAGCGATACATTAAATAAAATAATATAACTTAACGGCATAATGTTAAAACACACCTGCGTCGACTTTTTTGTGTGTTTCTTTGTACATCTTTTTCGAGCTATTAGCATTCGCTTTCTTCCAAACTTACACCAGAACATAGCACGGGCTGGCTTGCTGGTAACGTCTGAGATTATGTCGCCTCCTTAAGTTACAGTAACCATCACCAAAGCCACTTAAGTTCTAAGGACGGTTTGCAATAATTCCCTCTTTAACAGAAAGAAAAGACAGTTCTCTCAACTGTTCAGCCATATTAAACAACTGATATAGTGTCCAGGGTAAAAATAATTAATTTAAAGCTCAAAGATTTTAGTATAATGTAAAATGAGTAAGTGGTATGCCAAAAAGACAAGATTTCTGAATAAAGTTAAATTCGTTGTCTCGAAACGGTTCCTAATCATGCAATTTCACGTAAAATAATGTAAAAAAA